TCTGTCCCAGCAGTGCCCAGGGCCTGTCCCTGCCCGTGGTCACAGCACTGACACCAAGCACAACAGTGACCAACCAGCCAGAGCACTCAGGGACCTTCCCCAAAGGCACAGAAGGAGAGTGTTGAATTGGGAAGGATCAAATGCTGCTGCTGCTTCCTTGCAGTGCTGCTGTTCTGGTCCCCTTTTCCCCAACCCCCCTGCACACAGGCACTACCTTGACATTTTACAAAGGTCTCTGAAAAACTATCTCAGAAACACCAGGTTTCTACTGTGACCTTTCATTTCTTTTAATATGAAGAGAGGGTTCCTCATTTACACAGGGGCAGGGTCAAATTCAGGAAGAAGACAGTGAATTAGAAGCTGCACCAAGAACAAAATTTTATTCTGCACTACATCATAAAAAGTCAAAATACCAAAGAAAACATTCTTAGCCCATCCAAAATGGTGAGAAGAGAGGGTTGGCCTGTAGCAAGTAATGTTAGGAATGATTTCCAGAAGAAAAGAGCCAGTGTTTTGCTTCTGAAAAGCATCCAGTCATCATTTTCCTTATGGCATCCTTGAGCTCCTGGTTCCTCAGGCTGTAGATGAGGGGGTTCAGTGCTGGAGGCACCACCGAGTACAGAACAGATACCACCATATCCAGGGATGGGGAGGAGATGGAGGGGGGCTTCAGGTCAGAAAATATGCCAGTGCTGAGAAACAGGGAGACCACGACCAAGTGAGGGAGGCACGTTGAAAAGGCTTTGTGCCGTCCCTGCTGAGAGGGGATCCTCAGCACAGCCCTGAAGATCTGCACATAGGAGAAAACAATGAAAACAAAACAGCCAAAACCTAACAAACAACTTATTATAAGAAGCCCAATTTCCCTGAGGTAGTCTGAGTGTGAGCAGGAGAGCTTCAGGATGGCAGGGATTTCACAGAAGAACTGGCCTAGGGCATTGCCCTGGCACAGGGGCAGAGAAAATGTGTTGGTTGTGTGCAGCAGAGCAGTGAGAAACCCAGTGGCCCAGGCAGCTGCTGCCATGTGGGCACAAGCTCTGCTGCCCAGGAGGGTCCCGTAGTGCAGGGGTTTGCAGATGGCAACGTAGCGGTCGTAGCACATGATGGTGAGGAGGAAATACTCTGCTGCCATGAAGAAGACAAAGAAAAATACCTGTGCAGCACATCCTGTGTAGGAGATGGTTGTGGTGTCCCATAGGGAACTGTGCATGGCTTTGGGGACAGTGGTGCAGATGGAGCCCAGGTCTGTGAGGGAGAGGTTGAGCAGGAAGAAGCCCATGGGGGTGTGCAGGTGGTGGTCACAGGCTACGGCGCTGAGGATGAGGCC